ATTATAGCCATCATATCATTCATACTAATCTACATATTCTTGTCCTCATTGAACACCAACTCGTGGACTGATTTGAAGACCAAAAACGGCACAAATGGTAACACCGGTGATGGATCTGGTGGTGAATCCCACGACAAACCGATGTCACACCAAACGATACAACGAATGCTTATGAATGAGAAATACTTTCAAATCACAGATTGCGGTAAATTTTGACAAATATTATCACATTTTGTGAGACTATACTAATTTATGGATTCATTGGTGTATTAGGCCTTCCAACGGATTCCGTATACCCGCAGTACATGGTGTTCGAGCCCTTACCCATAAATCTGTATCAAAACTGGACAATGAATTGGCGCCTCATATTCAGGAATCCCATGCAATGGACGACACAAATGGACGTCGAGGTCGAGAAGATACTGTTCGGTCTCCAGTGGCTCAAGATTAAGATCCCGTGCGTTATGGAGTACTTCGGCTCCTGTAGCTTCAACTTCTGCAAGATGTGGCAAATCCATTGGGACGAGCAGTTGTGCGCTTACATCCAGCAGAACTACAACATGAGCTGCCAGTGCCCGGACACCTTCGCCCTCGACGTACTCGATTTCAATGATTTGCATTATATGCCAATTGTGGACAGGATTATGAAGTACTTCTCGTGGTTTGCGGCCGTGAGTCCTATTTTCACGTCTCATGTGTTTTAATGTAATACAAAATTATTTGTTTGGTGTCCACCCGTAGGGCTGGTATAATGTAAACGTCAGACTCTTTGATAAAGTCACGAAACAACAGTATCTGTGCGTTAAAACACATTTCAATATCGATGTCACACACGATGATGAGGACGAGGATTAAATGATTAAATGATTACATTTTAATTTTAAGATTTATTCAAATTTGTTGACTATATTCAACAGAAAATGAATAGCATTTAAGAATTGCTTACTTTTGCTTTTATAGATTACTATTATCTTTAAAATACAATTAACAATTTCCTGTTCAATATTTTTAAAATCAATACTTTAAATTAAATAATTATAAAATATTTTATTACCTGTTTAAATAACTTTTAAAAAATAAAAAATCTTAGACACTAAAATTATTATTTACTTTAGAATTGTAATTATTTGGAAATTTTTATCAGGGAAAATTGGATTAATTAAATAGCTAATATTTTATTACCTGTTTAAATAACTTTTAAAAAATAAAAAATCTTAGACACTAAAATTATTATTTACTTTAGAATTGTAATTATTTGGAAATTTTTATCAGGGAAAATTGGATTAATTAAATAGCTAAGATATGTTTTTCAAAATCAAACACAAATCGACACATCTCACCGAAAGTTGTTTGCAGTTTAGACACAATTATTTCATCAAATGTATAAATGGGACTAATAGTGCCGTTCAGAAACCACTCGTAAGTCCAGAAGTAATTGTTACGAATAAACGTATGGATAGTGTGATAGTCTTTCATCCAGTTCTCATCATAAGTGGTGAACAGTTTAGGACACACTTCTAGGCCATCGATACCAAACTCTCCATTAAGTCTATGTACTATTTCAGGTGTTTTATTGATTAAAATATATGGTAGTTCTCCAGCGTTATAATACCATATATTGGGATTGTATTGTCGATACCCTTCGCGCCATTGTCTCAAAAATCTAGCGTTTCTGTGGGCGATCTGCACCTGATTGCCGACCGCAGGCGTAGGCCTAAATCTCTCAAAGTCCATAGTCATCTCATACTTCCGAAACTCATGCAATGGTTTGACAACATAGACATCAGTGTCTAAATAAATGCCACCAAATTGTGACAATACTCTGATGCGAGTGATGTCAGACGCGTGCCATTTCGCATAATCCTCAGTCATTTGGACTCCGAATATATTTAAAGGCATTAATACTCTTCTGACGATTACCTCGATATTCATTTTACGGCTAATATTATGCACTCGTCTATAGTATTCACCGTTGAGTTCATTACAATCGCAGTGAATGTATATCTTCTCCGGTCTGTGATTCTTAAGCACCGATAAGATTGATATGAAATGAATGAATGATATCTCAGTTTTTCCAAACAATACATAGTGTATAATATTTGGCACTATATTTATTGGATATCCAGTGATGTTGTGATCAAAACTCATTTCACTAACATCTATGCAATCATTCGTTGAATCCTTTTTGTAATGTCTTAACATTGAAATTATAATTATAATTAAATTTGTAATAATTAATAAAAAAATTATTAATAATACATTTATACGACATAGAGAAGAAAACATGTTAATTAGAAGTACAGGTATATTATAATTTTATATTAAACAATCAATTATTATAATATAAATGTTTATCTTTAAATGAACATCAAATTAATCCTAAACTCGACGAATATTTTAGGATAATTTTATTTTAACTTTTATTAATTATTTTTTATATTATTAATATATCATTTTACATATTTTTTAATTTGAGAAAAAAATTAATTGCTCTATAATAAATAAAAGTATCATGAATCAATAACAGACTTTTTCCATTTGGTATAAAGTTTGTTAAACTTTATTTTGTTGTAATTTTCCATAAAAATATTGTGTAAATAAACTTGGTACTTGTTGCTCAATACTTACTAATCACCTCCATGTCTACAGGTATTGTCATGTTAGACAAACACTTGATTGGGCAGTATTTGTAAGATTTTTATGATTTGTAATATTAAATACTTTATTGAATGATTTTTCCAATATAAGTTGCTGGATATCCTCCCCGGAACATCCAAATAACATTTATGTATTAATCGGTATACTTATACCTATAATTACTAATGATTTTTTATTAAAACTTAACTTATTTTCGTTTAGGTCCGGCCATGTTATCAATTGCATTAAATGTATCATTTATTGCATACCTATTGTGGAAATCTAATCACAAATTGAGTTTTAGATACATCCTATCATTTGTATGGATTTTGTTTAATAGTGGCATTTCGTGGCTATTATTTGTGTTTTATATCAACCGGTGGACTACAGTTCCCCAAATATTTTCCTATTTGTTTATATTCTTCAATGCTTTACAGGTCTATAATCTTTGATTGTTAATCAATTTTATAATCAAATAATTATTGAGTTTTTGCTTTAATTTGTTTGAAAATTGTGTCATTATAGGGAGTATTCCTAGTAATATATCAGTGGAATATACGTGTGGAACGGTGCAATTACCAAGTTAACTAAAAAATTGCTGGTTAATTACTGTATGACTTCACTGTCAACATATTGACAAAAAATTAATTATTCACGAATAAATGTTTTTAACTTATAATTACAATATTATAATAATGGCTTCATATATATGAATCATGAATTAAGAAATTAATTATTATATATTTAATTATATAAATAAAGTACTTTTATTATGTGTTATAGTATAATACCGGTACTATTTATTGAATAACGTGAATTTAATAGAAACTCCTTTTACAGTAACACATAACACACTGTATTTTTCATGAATTTTATTCAAGTAATAAATGAATTTTATTTTAAATTATATTATTTAGATTCTTTAATTGTATAATAACTGAATAACTTTTGCAATAAAGCTGTTGGATATCCCCCGAAAGATTTATGTATTGATCGGAATATGAATACAATATTACCTTATATTCAATACTTGATTATAATAAATTTTATAAAAATACTTAGTTCCCGCAATTTTAGCAATTTCTTTAAACATAGCATTCATTGCATACCTATTATACAAATCCAAACCCAAAGTGAGTTGTGGTTACATCCTATCAATTGTATGGATTTTGTTCAATAGTGGCATTTATTTAGACACTGATGTCTATGTTATCAGACCATTGGACGTGTTTCTGAAGTATGAGATGACTCTGGACTTTGAGATATACAGAGACCCTCCGGCGGTGTCTAACATGATTCAGATCACCTACAGAAATGCCAGGTTTTTGAGGCATTGGATCGATGGGTACCGACAATACAAACCCAATGTATGGTTTTATAACGGCGGAGAATTGCCAAACATGTTTATCAGCAAAACACCGCAAATCATACACAGACTTAAAGGTGAGTTTTGTCCCGAAAGTCATCAAATTTGTCACAAACTGTTCACTACTTATGACGAGAGTTGGCGGACAGACTACTACGCCCTCCACACCTTTTTGCGAAACAATCATTTCTACCACATCTGGTGTGTTGACAACATCGACATTCAGATCTATACCTTTGATGAGATCATTGTGTCTAAAATGAGCACAACATTTGCTGATATGTGTCGATTTGTGTTTGATTTTGAAAAACATATAGCAATTTAATTAATTCAATTTTCCTTGATAGAAATTTCCCATAATAACAATATTAAAGTAATTAAGTTCGGAGTCAAAAATTTTTTATGTTTTATAAGTTATTTAAACAAGTACAATCATTTATAATTAACTATATAATTTAAAGTATTCATTTTAAAAATATAAGGAGACAACTGAAAAGGGTCAATTGCATCTAAAGGCGCTAATAATCTATAAAAGCAAAAGTAATCAATTGTTAAATGCTATTCATTTTCTGTTGAATATAGTCAACAAATTTGAATAAATCTTAAAATTAAAATGTAATCATTTAATCATTTAATCCTCGTCCTCATCATCGTGTGTGACATCGACATTGAAATGTGTTTTAACGCACAGATACTACTGTTGAATATAGTCAACAAATTTGAATAAATCTTAAAATTAAAATGTAATCATTTAATCATTTAATCCTCGTCCTCATCATCGTGTGTGACATCGACATTGAAATGTGTTTTAACGCACAGATACTGTTGTTTCGTGACCTCATCAAAGAGTCGGACGTTTACATTATACCAGCCCTACGGGTGGATAGCAAACAAATAATGTTTTATTACATTAAAACACATGAAACATGAAAAATAGGACTCACGGCCGCAAACCACGAGAAATACTTCATAATCCTGTCCACAATTGGCATATAATGTAAATCATTGAAATCGAGTAGCAGCTCCCGCTTCCACAGGCCCGTGACCGTCGAGTACAACATCAAGACGACCTACATCCGCGTGTTGACGAGCAGGGTTACCTAAACGGTGTAGAACGTCTTCAACTTCGATGTCCTCGGCTTCATCTCCATAAAGCACGGGATCTTAATCTTGAGCCACTGGAGACCGAACAGTATCTTCTCGACCTCGACGTCCATTTGTGTCGTCCATTGCATGGGATTCCTCATTATGAGGCGCCAATTCATTGTCCAGTTTTGGTACAGATTAATGGGTAAGGGCTCAAACACCATGTACTGCGCGTATATGGAGTCCATGGGAAGGCCTAATACATTAATGAATCCATGAATTAGTATTGTCTCACAAAATGTGATAATAATTGTCAAGATTTACCGCAATCTGTGATTTGAAAGTATTTCTCATTCATAAGCATTCGTTGCATCGTTTGGTGTGACATCGGTTTGTCGTGGGATTCACCACCAGATCCATCACCGGTGTTACCATTTGTGCCGTTTTTGGTGTTCAAATCAGTCCACGAGTTGGTGGTCAATGAGGACAAGAATATGTAGATTAGTATGAATGATATGATGGCTATAATGAGTGCGACCATCACTTTGTAGGCTTTACTCGTTGTCGGGTTAGGGCTGGTAGGGTCGGTGAACGGGCTTTCCGTGAAGTATTTCTTTTGTTTTTCATTATTAAGGTTTTGATACATTACTTTCGGCATTACAAGGGGGTTAAACGCAATGTATTGATATTAGAAACTATTGAATTTTGTGTTATTTAAATGTTGACTCCATTTACATAAGAAATTACTTTTAATTAAAAAACTTGCGAAATATGAAACATGTTTTCGTGAGAATTTAATTAAAGTTTTATAATTATTAAAATTTAGATTTTCTTTATGTGAATCATTAATTTAATTAAAAACATTAATAATCTAATCAGACACTGAATTAACTAAAATACCCTGTTTCACGTCAGATAGTGCGCCCTTCCTTTTTCTCAAAGAAATCACATTTTTATCAGATACTGCGAGGCATTGAAATGATTTTACAAAATACGTACTCACGCTTAGGGGGGAGGGGGTCATGCCAAAAACGTATGTTATAGTGGGAGGGGGTTATTGAATAATGTACTGTATGTACGCTTAAGGGGGTTAGATCCCTGACCAGAGCTTATAGAAAGTATTATTTGATAATTAAATGCATTGAAAATGAAATGAAAAAATGTCGCTCATCTCAATATTTAGAATTAAGACTTTGAATGTAAAAACAATCTCAAGAACTGGTCATCAGATGGATGTCATGTAATGGAGAGTGAATCCAATCGTGAGATAACTGTCTGTGAATGCAATCATTTGACTAATTTTGCGGATCTTATGGACACTTCTCTCCATATTTTGACAAATATTTGTTGCAGTCTTTCAATCATTTGTCTCTCAATATGTGTTGTTTTTATGGGAAAAGAAGTTATGGTTAGAGTTGGAAATGAGTGGACATTACAATAGGATTTTTGGCAAAACAAGACTTTCTTGTCATGAATTTATATATTTGTCTTATGATTACAAAGCTATGACTAACTTACTAAATGTTTGGACTCTAAATTTGTGGGCACACCTAGTGTTCATAATACACGTTAACATATTTTCACAAATTTCTAAGGTTTGACAAATGACATAAACGCGGACAATATGTCGTGTCATATGCCCTCATCACATATGTCAGACGTGTCGTTCAATTGCGAGTTCGTATGCAATTCATCACATAATTGTATAAAATATTCAATTATAGTGTTTATAAGTGATGAGTATATCTATGAAAGTAAATATGTATAATGATTCAAAAGTCTAGTCTTACACCATTTAAATGGTAGACATGGAGGTGATTAGTAAGTATTGAGCAACAAGTACCAAGTTTATTTACACAATATTTTTATGGAAAATTACAACAAAATAAAGTTTAACAAACTTTATACCAAATGGAAAAAGTCTGTTATAGGATGTTCCGGGGAGGATATCCAGCAACTTATATTGGAAAAATCATTCAATAAAGTATTTAATATTACAAATCATAAAAATCTTACAAATACTGCCCAATCAAGTGTTTGTCTAACATGACAATACCATTTTCCTTAAGGGTAATGTGTCCAAAAAACAAAGCAATGATAAGCACCGGTAGTCCATATCCAATTTTCAGATATAATTTCTTATTGTATTCAGTTTTCATTGAATTCTGAGCCAATCGGTAGAACTGGAATCCATGCAAAAGCATCCAAACAAATGTCGATAAAATTGAATACAATAATAACATTGACATCACTTCACAAACTTCCTATTTTTAAATAATTTATTAATTTTAAATATAAATGTATAATAATATATAAAGTTAATCATAAGTACGAATATAATTACCCGGCTCTCTCTTCTATCCATTCCTATAATAGTTAACAGATTTGTAATCAATAGACAAATACATAAATTCTTAACAATAAAGTCCTGTTTAGCGAGAAATCCTAACGAACTGCCATTCAGTCCGAAACCTTTTAATCTCATATTAAATAACTTCTTTCGCCACAAAAATAATAGATATATTGAGAGACTTATGATTGAAAGTCCGCAACAAATATAAGTAAAAATATTTTTCTTAAAATCATTATTTTCTCGACCGGAAGTGTCCATAAGAGCCGCAAAATTAGTCAAATGATTGCATTCACAGACAGTTATCTCACGATTGGATTCACTCTCTATTACATGACATCCAAGTGATGACCACTTCTTGTGATCAAAGTCCCAGAAAACACACTCAACTCTATCGCCCAAAACCAACCGATTCTTGTGTTTTAAACTATTTATAAATTAATAATTATTAAAATGGTTTACAAATAATTTTTCAATAAATACCTAATTTTCACATTAGATCCATCGCTGAATTCATAACTTTTATTAGTATTTCTAATATTAAACGCAATTATATGGCTATTGATTTGCTTTTTAATCATACCGTCACTTAAATATTGTCCCAATTTATCGATATATGTTCCCAAAGATGTATTATTAACACACGAATACATCTCATCATCCCTTCCCTCATAATGATTACAATTTGGTAATAGTATTGAAGAAGAATTATATTTAAAAGTAATTTCTTCTGTTAAATAAAAATAATAATGTTTTTCAACTAAATTCTTGCTCTCAATTATTACTGTATTTTTCTGTGCATTTAAAAAGCAATTCGTGGCGAAAGCAATGGTCTGTATATTATATAACAATTTTGAAGCCAACTCTACAGTCTCTGCACTCTTCGCATCCATCCATACGTTTTGATCGATTACTTGACTCATAAGAGTCACCAAATTTTGTGATATATTCATAGCTATCATCGAATCAATTGTTGTTCCGTTTGTTAATAAATAAGTACTTATTTTGTTAATTATTTCAATGATGTCCTTTAATTCTTGAGTGGACTTTAAACCGCTATAACTTTGTGTTTTCAGATTCAAACGTTGTCCCCAAATCACAATGTCTTCAATACTGTTTATTTCTATTTCGTTTAAATCTACAGGGTCATTATTTTAATATCATAAGTTAGTTTTAAAAAATTAAATAAAAATATTATATAATAAATAATAATTTCTAGTAAGTAATTATAAAATCAGTATCCGCTATATTACATACTTGGGTTTAGAGTAGTAGATTGAGTTGGACCTGGAGAAACACCTTGAGTTGGACTTGGATTAGCACTTGGAGTAGGAATTGGAATAAGACTTGTAGTAGTACTTGGAGTAAGGCTTGGAGTAGTACTTGGAGTAGGGCTTGGAGTAGGACTTTGTGTTGTGCCTATAGTGTGATCTGGTGTGGGAGCTGAAGTGGAAACTGTACTTGGACTTGTTACGGGACTTTGTGTCCAATCGTAATCCCAAATTGATAAACCACTGTCAGCACAATTAGCCAGCACACGGTGTCTATAGACACTATCTTTAGACAACAGCCAATCAAATTCATCCAAATTTTCAACACTACAACCAATGGGATTGTTAGTCAAATCGAGTGTAGTTCTAATACTCAAGTCAAAAATCTTTCCAAAATTATCCTCTCGTATGTAATTTAAGTGATTTTCAGCTAAAATATATATGAATTTAAGTTAGAATAACATAATTAAAAAGATTTTTAAGAATAATTATTCGAAAAATGTCTAATATTTATAAAACAACTTGACTTCCGCTTAAGTTTCAGTTTAACTTTCGCTATAGTCTATAATATACCAAATAATAGAAGTGGATCATTTGAAAAATGAAATAGAAAATACCAAAATTGATGTCATATTGTTTGTTATAATTGATGTTCGATATACTGAATGCATTTCCTTCTAAACTCTGTTCATTCAATTCAGTGTTTTGTAGATTTATTCTCATATTATTGTAATAGTCATATCCATCGTTAGTGAGGTTAAATGCAAAATGACCAATTTTTATAATTCTCTGTACGTGGAACTCCATATAATACATTTCATTGTAAATGTTAATAGTTTCAGTCAATGACACGTTGAAATTTCCAACAAAAGACACGCGACAATATCGATGGTCATCAAACATATGTCCGGGTATTGTATGTTGGATATTATTATCTAGGTTAATGGTTAAATAACGCAAATGCTTTTGGATATTGGAGATTGCCACCACGGCGTTTTCAATGGTTAATTCAGTTGTGGTACCACCTAACAATTGTAGCTGATTAATATATACCCCATCGAAAGCTAATTGAGAAATGTGTTTCAAATTAGTGACATTCAGAACCAAATTAGTGACACTCCAGTCCATTGGAATCACATTATCTTTGATGTGACCATCAATTATAGGACCCGACCATAAGATTGAATCAAATTTAGTTGGCTCTGTATGGATACCAAAGAGCAAACTCAGCTCTGCATTGATATCCTTTTCCACATCAGTCTCACATTGTATTGAACCTAATGTTATATAACAAACACTATTCGCTCGTATATTAATGGTCTCATTGGTAACAATACTGGTTATATTATATGTTGAAATTAATATTACTTGTATAAAAAGTAACTTTAATATATTGATCATCTTAATTACTAATAACAGAAAATATTTTGAATACTATTAATAAGATATCAATATAAAGTTAATGGCACTTTAAAAATAAAATTTGAATTATTTAGTAATGCATTTAGTTTATATATAAATGAAATATAAAATTTAGGGTGACATAAATATCAATTATAGACTACATAAAATTATAAAATAGATTAGTATCATAAAACTAGGGATGAGCACAGGTCCCATAAAATTGGCGTCAGCCTAAATCTAACAATGCGGGGTCATTGGCTGTACAATTCTTATTAAATTAAAAACTATATGATTATATAGCTTAACCATGCTAAATTAAGAATATCGGGGTCCGATAATCTATGGGAAGGTGGTCTGGTCATAATCCAGATGTTTTGAGTTTCCGATGATCGCACAATTTTCAAAGTTTTTATATGCATTATTCACTTTTTTACATTACTCATACTATAAAAGTGAGTCTTAAAAATAATGCATGAATTCACATCAAATGCCTATTGAATTTGTATAGAGCGTTATACGAATATCGCAAACTTGACCACTGGATTTTGACCATACCACCTTCACATAGATTATCGGACCCCGATATTCTTAATTTAGCATGGTTAAACTATATAATCATGTAGGTTTTAATTTAATAAGAGTTGTACAGCGAGTGACACCTCATTGTAAGACCGGTCTGAGCCTTATATTAAATATAAAATGATCATTTAAATTCATATTATAAAATTTAATTAACATGGAATCTCATAATTGGGAATATATAAATATAAATTAACAGAATCACAAAACCATCAAGGCTATACATAAAGGTCTTCCATAAGGGGTGACCTCATGCTGGCCTGTGCCCGACCTCTACTCTAACTCACCCCTACATAAAACGGAGTAAACAAATATAATTTTATGAATGTAATTACGTATTTACTAATATAATATTATGTGTGATTTTATTGAAGCACTTCATGTATATAATAAAGATTATATGTATTTACCTCATCTTACAACGTAAGTAATACTTTTTTTTATACAGGGTTGGTTGTCTATATTAGACGATGTTACTTTGATTCGAATATATTTGAACATTTCTATATTATTTTAAATTGATTCTTTTACAAAATTAGATGAATAGTTAGGGTTTTGTTTATATAAATTTATAAAGTTCCCTCACTGTCCTAACATATTTTCTGATATCTAGTACTATAATAATATTGAAATTTTCTAAAGGTTTTAAAATTAAACTAAGCAAACAATTTTATTTGAACTAAATTATAAATTAATATTATAAAGTAAAAATTAAAAATAAAGTTAATTGAATCATAATTCGATATTTAAAATTAAATCATGAAATTATTGAAAAAATCAGTATTCTTGAAATAAAATAAGATTTATAAAACATTATTTTTACATATTTATCTAGACTTCTTAACTATTAATTACTAAGTGAATTTAAACAATAATTATAATTGTACTTATACTAATACGTTAATTTTTACAAAAATACTATTTGATATTTTTTGAAAAATAACTTAAAAATTATGTACAAAAATATTCTCGGTAAGTTATCCATATATTAAAAAACTCTAACTATTCATCAATAACTTCGTTAAAGAATCAATTAAAATAAACTATAAATCAAAGGGTATATCCTTAAATAAGGGAAACCATGTATTAGTTTAAAACAATCACTATTATAAACTCTACTGTATACGCTACTTACTTTAGCTATAAAAATCCGGTATCTTAAAAGTAATAATTATATTTTAAATAATTATCTTGTACTATATTAATTTACACTAAAAATTTAATTATATATAACTTATTTATATAGTATTTAATAAAAATATTGTACATTAATTGTAATTAATATTATGTTAATAGTGTGCAATATATTCTTTAATTTTCTTATCTTATCCGTTATATACAATGTATTTGACAATAGTTTGCAGATAAATATTGTGTGTATACTGACAGAAGCTGTACAAACTGGATGAAACATTTATGATGTGTAGAGGAAGGGTTCAGGAACATCCTGTTATATTTTTATTACATGTGACTTAAAACTCTATGAGTGAAAGTCAAATTACCATTGGTCAGTTAGTTATTCAAGTTTAGGCCTTTTAATGTTAGATTTTTAAGCGTTTTGAGTGATTCCGTTGCTCTTACCTAGACAATTTCATTAATATAAGCTAAATTAAGACATTTAACTGTTGCTATGTCACATATTTCAATTACACTTTTTTTTTATAATAATGAGCTTTAATATGTTGCTCATTTAAACTAGAGTATATTACTGATGATTTAAAGAAATTTATTTAAACTATTTATTACGTTAATTACATTACCATTTACTTCATTTGAATTAAATATGCTCTAATAAATATTAAATAAATAGAATAAATAGAAAACAATATTACTTGTAGTCTACTGATTATACTCTTATTATTTTCTAAAATTATACAACATATATAAAAATAAAATTTTATGATTTGCAATGTATATAATTATACTAATTGGTATATATAAATAAATAAATAACTTGTAATCAAGAAATTGTTTGAATAATAAAATTAACGAGTTAAAAATATGATATACAGTATATCTAAAATAATGTGTCAGTTTATTAAATTATATATTTTTATATAAAAATAATTAATTAATCATAAATAATTTAAAATAAAACAAGATTTCAATATTAATTCAAAATTAAGTTGAGGTCTTATTATTAATTAATTAAATTCATTGAGAAAATCCATCAAATTGCATTCGAGATTTAATTAATTTATCATTGATTATCAAATTAATTCAAGAACTATATATTGATAATATTATCTTAAATATAGTTACAATTAACTTGTATTTATATTATATTTATTTAAATGATTAAAAATTATTTATTTTTAACCACATTATAAGAACATTGATAATTAAATCAAATTGAACATAAAACATTGTTTGAATAGCATTGTTATGTGGAATAAATG